ACAGAGTCCAATGAGGGTATGAGTGCAGGAAAGGATTCTGACCTAGAAGGGGAGAGTAGGAGGGTTGCAGGGTCTATGATGGGATTGTGACATGGAGCAGGGGAGTGGTGGACAGGATCCATGAGGGGGAATGGGTGCAGGAGAGGATCCTGACCTGGGGCAAAGGATTGGAGTGCAGAGTCTGGGAGAGGTGATGGATGCAGGAATAGGGGTGAAAAAGCTTTGGACTGATCTGGGGCAGTACAACATGAGGTGGAGCAGAGGGTTGAGGACAGGGAGGGGCTGGGGTGCCAGAAACAGGTTCTGGCCAGGAGGTGCTTACCTAGGCAGCTCCTTGCCGTACACACTCCACACATTGCTTAAAGCAGCCAGCTGTGGGTATTACATGTTCTCTGTGCACAAAGAATGCCTCACGCACAGTCCAGGGAGCTTTCACTGGCTGATTTCCAACCAATGGAGCTGCAATATTGTGTTGGGGAGACCGCCTTTCCCAATTCCCCACGTGCAGAAAACATATGGCTCCTACAGCCAGCAGCTTTGAGCCATGTGCAGAGCAGGAAAGGCAAGAAGCCTGCTTGGTACTCCTGCTGGGCCACAGGCTGTATCTGGTGGTTTGGCAGGCCAGATCTGACCCAGAGGCCATATTTTGTCTACTCCTGTTCTAGGTTAATACATACTGTTACTTCAAATAGCTTTGCATTTACATACAGACATACATAAGAATGGCCATACAAGGTCAGACCAAAGATCCATCTAGCCCCGTACCCTGTCTGCCATCAGTGGCCAATGCCAGATGCCCCAGAGGGAGTGAACAGAGAATCATCATGTGGTCCCTCTCCTGTCATCCATTTCCAGTCTTTGACAAACAGAGGTTAGGGACACCATTGCTACCCATCCTAGCCAATAGCCATTTAAAGACCTAACTTCCATTAATTCATCTAGGTCTTTTTAGAACCCTGTTAAATTCCTGGTCTTCACAACATCCTCTGGCAAGGAGTTCCACAGGTTCATCGCATGCTGCATGAAGAAAAACTTTCTTTTGTTTGTTTTAAACCTGCTACCTATTAATTTCATTTGGTAACCTCTAGTTCTTCTATTATGGGAACAAATAATTTTTCCTTATTCACTTTTGTGCACAACAGTCATGATTTTATAGACCTCTATCATATCTCCCCCACCCGCTTAGTCTCCTCTTTTCTAAGCTGAGAAGTCCCAGTCTCTTTAATCTCATAAGAATGGCCGTACTGGGTCAGACCAAAGGTCCATCTAGCCCAGTAGCCTGTCTGCTGACAGTGGCCAGCACCAGGTGCCCCAGAGGGGGCAGACCAAAGACAATGATCAAGCGATTTGTCTCCTGCCATCCTTCTCCAGCCTCTGACAAACAGAGGCCAGGAACACCATTTCTATCCCCTGGCTAATAGCCTTTTATGGATCTAACCTCCATGAAATTATCTAGCTTCTCTTTAAACTCTGTTATAGTCCTAGCCTTCATAGCCTCCTCTGGCAAGGAGTTCCACAGATTGACTACACGCTGTGTGAAGAAGAACTTTCTTTTATTAGTTTTAAACCTGCTACCCATTAATTTCATTTGGTGTCCTCTAGTTCTTCTATTATGGGAACTTATAAATAACTTTTCTTTATTCACCCTCTCCACACCACTCATGATTTGATATACCTCTATCATATCCCCCCTTAGTCGCCTCTTTTCTAAACTGAAAAGTCCCAGTCTCTTTAACCTTTCTTCATATGGGACCCGTTCCAACCCCTAATCATTTTAGTTGCCATTTTTTGAACCCTTTCTAAGGCCAAAATATCTTTTTTGAGATGAGATGACTACATCTGTACACAGTATTCAAGATGTGGGCGTACCATAGTTTTATACAGTGGCAGTAAGATATTCTGTGTCTTATTTTCTATCCCTTCCTTAATAATTCCTAACATCCTATTTGCCATCCTCTCTCTCTTCATGTGACCCGTTCCAAACCCCTAATCATTTCTGTTGCCTTTTTCTGAACATTTTCCAATGCCAATATATCCTTTTTGAGATGAGGCAACCACATCTATACACAGTATTCAAGATGTGGGCGTACCATGGTTTTATACAGAGGCAATAAGATATTATCTGGCTCATTCTTTATTCCTTTTTTAATTATTCTTAACATTGTGTTTGCTTTTTTGACTGCCACTGCACATTGAGTGGAAGTTTTCAGAGAACTATGCACAATGACTCCAAGATCTCTCTCGAGTAGTTATAACTAACGTATTATCAGGGCTCGACAAACCACAGCAAAATCCACTCACCAGCCCCGCACATGCGCCAGGCCTGCACTGCGCATGCGCGCACCACCAGTGAACGGGGCGACCGCTGCAATCTACTCGCCATGGGCGAGTAGATACACGGATTTGTCAAGCCCTGCGTATTATCATAATAAATATATTCATGCAATTTATTTCCAAGAATACAAAAGCAGGGTGAAAATTGGAAAAAATTAATAGTTTTTATAAAATGCAGGGGAGTTTAGTAAAACTCAATTTAAATTTAAAATAAAGGGATGTAGTTATAAAGTACCATGGAAAGCTATACTGCTTCCTATCACAAGCATCTTCATACAAATCAATCTGGAAAGTTTGTTAGAGGAGAATTCATGAAAATAAGTGTTGATGAGGACTAATCCAGTTATCTCAAAAAAGAGACATTATGGTAGTACCTAGAAGCAATAGTCATGGAAGAAGACCCCATTATATTAGGCACTGAATAAATACAAAACAAAACAACAGACCCTACCCCTAAAGAACTTACAACCTAAGTATAAGATAAGCGAAAATAGATATAGACAGAGGGGTGCAAGGAAACTGCAAGGCAAAATCGGACACGATAGGCAGTTGCCTCAGGCCTCTCAGTGGCCTAAAAGATGTCAAAAGTTTTGTACACTGAAAGGAGAATCTCAAAGAGAATTCTGAATGAGATTAATGGGATAACTTAGCGCATATTTACAAGGAGTTCCTCTGAGCGTGAGGAAAAGTATGGAAGAAGGCACAAAGGTCTTATTTTAATCTTTTAATGAGTGTGTGATGGAGGCTGGCATCATGGCTAATCAAAAGTGTAAATCTACATGTCAGTCAATGTGAGATGACTGGTGTGGTGGGAACACACCATGAAGGGCCTTGAAGGTAAACATAAGTAAATTTTGTTTGAGGCAACAGAGAAGAGGAAGCCAATGAAAGGATGCAAGGAGAATGTGACAGGATAAGAGAATGACTTTGTAGCAGCCTCTATCAGAGGCAGGCAGCAAGGGGGGGAAGCAGGAGATGATGTTGGGGGGAAGCCAGCGTGAAAGCCAGTTTCCCCCAGCACCATCTCTGAGGGGGACAGGGGAGATAAAAGCACACTGGCAATGGTGCAAGCAGGGACTGAAGCATTCTCTACTAGCGCTGCTTCTGCTGTGATTCTGCTTTTCAAATGTACAAGAGCCCCAACTCTTTCATGTTATGAAAGTTTTCTGTCTATCTTCCACTTGGGAGATACACATTAAAACTATGTCTACACAACACACCTTATAGCAGTGCTGAATCTGCATAGTTATAAGGTGCACTGAGTGGCCACTCTTTACTGCTGGGAGAGATGTTTTCCAGTGACAAAGTAAAACCACCTCCAACAAGCAAAGGTCCCACTGAACAAAGCACTATGCAAGCAGACACTTTTCATCAATTAATTGTTTTTTGTTTGGGTGGTGGAAGGCAAGGTTTTCCACATTTTTGTTTGGGTGTTAGGGGGCAAGGTTTTCCACATTTATTGGAAAACTTGTGTCATTTGGGTAAGTGCCAGTGTAGATAAAGCCTAGGACCTCTACATGGTATGCCATTCTCTCTTAAAGGTCCCAAGGAAGAATTAATAAAACCAATTTCCCTGCCCTCACAAAATTATGGCTATACAAAAGATACCTAAATTTTCTCTAATCTTGCAAGGCATATTCTTAGCCAACTGCTAGACATAAATACACAGCATTAACAATGGGAATTTTACAGCTCCCTTAAATAGGCATGCCAAGAAGGGACATGCTACCTGAACACTGCATAAAAAGGGGTGACATATAAGGAGGCACCTAGCCCCAAACAGGAAAGAGAAATACTGAGCTTGCTTTTCACATTTTGGGGTTCAAGTGATAATTAAACAAGAGGCAGCTCCCACAGGTCTCTTCCTTTGCCACCATTGCCTCACAGTTTTTCACCATGAACAAAATAAGGTGACTAATGGGAACATAGAGGGATGCTCTGTTCACATTCGGAACACACACAGGGTATGTACCTGCCAAGCTAGATAGGCTCACTAGAAAAGGATTTGACAGGAATCAGAGGAGTCGCTGTGTTAGTCTGTATCCACAAAAAACAAGGAGCCCTGTGATAATTTAAAGATGAACCGGTTTGCTCAGGCATAAGCTTTTCTGGGCAAAGACATGCAGCTTGAGGAAGGGGGCCCTTGACCACAAGTGCTTATACCCAAATAAATCTGTTAGTCTTTAAGGTGTCACAGGACTCCTCCCTGTTTTTACAAAGGGATGCGGTTCTGTCCCACGCTGAAGGCTGCAGCAGGAAAGGAGTAGCTTTGCTCCTGACGCTGGGCAGTAATAAATAACACACGCCTCTCTCTTAGCGCCTGGCCCGCACAGCCTGCACCGACAGGCCCGGGCCCACGCCCAGCCCCACTTCCGTCACCCCCATGCTCACGCCGATGCCCCCCAAGGTGCTCGCTGCAGGGCGGGTGTCGGTCGGCTCCCCCCGGACTGGGGGGCGGGGAAACAAGACGGCCCCACTTAGGCCCAGCCTCTCCCTTTGTCCAGTCCGTTCCCCTGCGGTGGCCGGCACTGAGGCAGGCGGCAGGGAGGAGCAACTCCCCTACGGGGCCCGTGGAGCTCTTCCTGAGGCGAATGCCAGGCCTGCTTCGGCCCGCGGCCCAAACCCCGCCTCCGCACAACCGCGATAACGGCCACATCCCCCCCTACCTTCGTTCGCTAAATCCGCCATTTTACTTCCTCAATCACTCCCACAGTGCATCGCGCGGCCGGCCGGCCTCCGATTTACAACAGACACAGCGCGGCGGCGCATGCGCGCAGTGTCCCGCAAGGGAGGGGCTCTCCCGCCGTCAAGCGGGAGAGACTGCGCATGCTCCGGAGAACGTTTCTTTTTTTTTTTTT